TGTATCTCTTCAAACGCCACAATAGGTGCGCCAAATCGTATCGGAAGGCATTTTGTCCACTAGTTTTAATGGCCGCTTTATAGTACGTGACAGCCTGGTCATTAAGTCATTAGGGGTTTGAAAATGTGAAACATGTGTTTTCTCGACTATAATTCAAACCTTTTCATAGAAATGTGTTTTAATCAAGGCCTGTCCCACTTTTCTGGTAAGAATCCAGTCCTTGGGATTCTTTTTGAGCGCCTGTTCATAGATTTCAATGGCTCTCTCGGGCTGTCCGTCCAATACAATTGCATTTTAAAATGTGTCAATTTATTGATGATAAGTCAAATACCTCCAGAATATGCATATAAGCGTCGCCTAGCATTAGGAATGACTGAGTCGTCGGCTTTTTATCCAATATCTCTCTGTTGGTCATGTATTCAAATAAAACAATTTTACTCATATTTGTACTGTATATGAATTTTATTTATATTTTCTCATAAATTAATAACTAATTAACAATTTAAATTTAGTATATTAATATTCGTAAAATCTGATTTAATTTGTAAATATATAATTGCATATTGTATATTATATTAGATAGAGATTATAAATACATTATAATTATATTCTAAATAAACTTGTCATATAACTTAGATAAGTATGAATTGTATAAGTTAATAAGAGTAACAATTTGGTATAATAATTGGTATAATAATTGGTATAGATCACATTTGTAGGCACATGTTTCGATAAAAAGCACAACTTGAGTACAACGAGAATCACTTTAGCATTTAATTAATTAATATTACTACTAAAAATAATTATGTAAAATGTGTCTAAATGTGACCACCAGGCCTACCAGGAGAGTCGGCGCTCAATCTTATTTTTAACAATATCTACAAACCTATAACAGCCGGCATATAGTCGTCGGTCTTTCCTATGCTTGAGATACATGAGAGCCATGAGTTCCCGGGAGCGCACGAAATGGTCGCCGTGTTCTAGCTTTATGTCCCGCAATAGACTCAATGCAGTGTCGATGTCACCCCTGGCCTCTGCCAACTGAGCGTTTGCTATCATAATCCTCCCCTCGTCCGGTGTGTCCCTACAGTCCTCCAGTAAATCATTCAACAGTTTCGAGCCCTCCGTCTAAATCATAATT